TATAGTGTGATGCGAATTATGTTATTTATTGGTTATATTTTTTATTGTCTGTAATTTTTCTTAAAAATTCATATCGTTTTTCGTTTAGGCTCTTGTAACCGGTTTTATTTTTCTGTTTCATAGTCGTTTTTCTCGTGCTCATGTCAAGTTTTGTTCGTGCGTTTCGTTCTTTTTAAAGTGTTTTACAATATTTTATCTATACAATTTTATTTATACACTGTGTTTTTAACTTTAATTGTTCACAATAACATACATCATTATTGATTGATATATTTCAATATGTATTCTTTTCATAATTTTTGTTTTAATGACGTCGTGGGTTTCTTTTTAACTATTTGACAGTAAGTTTATGATTGTAATACTTTTATTATGTTTTTCATTATATTTAATTGATCATAATGTAATTACTTTTACGTAGATTCGGCTGATGATGGGCTAAGCTCGAAACCGGTTCCGAATAAATTGATATTAAGCAAGTAAGAAGTTTTTTATATAGTTTAAATTTTAAATTTAAAACTTGCAACATGAATCCCAAACATATAGATAATACAACCTGACGTTTTTTTGAAGTTTTTTATATAGTTTAAATTTTGTATTATCTATGGTTTTACATTTTCCGCTTTCTATTTTCCTCCTATTTTTCGTCCTACGCTTAATCCTCACTAATATTTAAGAAAATGTTTAAAAATTTCTTAACTTTGAAGGCCTATGTCTTAGCCATTTATGGGTACACTCCAAAAAATTTTACACGAATCGTCATTATTCTTACTCTAGTATTTGTGATTAAAATTATGCCACAAATTACAGAAACAGCCTGTACTTAAATGATAATTACAAAAGAGCCAAACATTTTTATTTACTTGAATAATAATAATTATGATTATTAATATAGATTATACTTATTGTTACTAAATTTATATAGTATTTGAAATTTTAAATCTTTTTGCGACATCTATGAAATAATACTACATGTAACAGTTCCCTAAATCTAGTTTCCTATTTTAAAGCACGATGTCGTTGTTATCGATATTAACCTAAAAGTATCGGCCATTTTGATTGACGCATGCGCGGTAACTGTCACAGAGTGCAGCATAACCGGATACCTGTCAGTCTGTTCAGTGTGTATGAAAATTTGTGTTTTAACGTAAATTTAAGGGGGCAATCGCAACGTTAGTTTAACGCAATGGCGAAACCCGAACAGGTGTTGATCATCGAACCCCAAAGCGAATTGAAATTTCGGGGTGAGTTGTCCCGGTGTTTTTTTGACGTAGTGTACGATGCGTTGGCCTAGTAATAACCCACTACTACCACTATACCATAGCGGGACCACTGTGTCACACACACACTTCTCTGTATATCGAACGTCCCCTCGGCCCCAGTGCCCAACAAATCCACTTTAAATTACCCCACATTTTGTAAATTAACTTTTTACTTTTCTTATATACTTTTTTTATTAAGTGGTGGGCCCCCCTTGAATATGCCTTATCACGGTCGTTCGTTTTTATGCTAATATTAGCACACCATTATCAAATTTATTTATTTGCCTATGTATAAGATTAATTACATTTTTAGTTTAGTTTTAAATTATCAGTTATAGTATTCGTTATCATAATGGTATCAAATTATTACTTTGATTGTCTTTGAATCAATGTTCAAGGATGAATAGTTGTGTATAATTGAATTTGAAATTAATTTTTGTTTACTTTAGTGGTTTTAAATTGATGTAATAAGTTTTTTTATTATCTAAAAAGCATATGTATGTTTATCATGTGACAAAATGTTGCAAATTCATTCGGCCTTGTATAAAGTTCTCAAAGAATCTATTTAAAACTCGCTGATAATGCCTTTTGTACTCTTATTTCAACTTAATTTGTAACAATCAGTGATAATCTAATGGATTGTATTGAGTATTTTGATGATTTGCAAAAATTTATTTAAAACATTTCATCTTCAAAGCATATTTTTGTATACTTTATTTTGGATAAGTATTATCTAATTGTAATTATTCTTATTGTGTAATTTTTCAGGTTTTTGTGGTGAAAAAATAACTATACTGGTTGAATGGATCTGATTTCAATTCTTTTGTTATAAACAGTTTTTATATAAATATTTACATAAACTGTAAAAATGTAACTATCATATTCCAAGCTATCTTATGATGTCTATTTTGTTATGGCTCATTCATGCTATACCATTACTATGAACTTTTTTTTTCATCCAAACGATTTGCACCCAAGGTGAGGTAAAGTGATGTAGTACTAAATATCAAAAAATTGTTATAAACCTTTTTCACACATATTCTAATAATAATTCTTAAACAAATGTTTTATTTTCAAATTGTACAGGCTATTCCAGATAATTCAAAACAAAGAGTTGGTTAAATTAGAGAATCTAATCCTTGTAAAATTTGCAATGATAATACTATTAATATTATCTATTTGATACATCAGTATATTCAAATGTAAATGCTCATAGATAGAATCCAACTCGGGTTATTCCTCAAGTTGCTCTATTCCATGTTCATAGATAAACTTAGGGTATTCCATAAGTATGATGTATAAATCAAGGACAGTCGTTCTAGTTTTAATTGTTGTAAAAGTAGAACTAACACTAGACCTAGAGCTAGAAAAAATCAGGTTTAGCCATATATCTCTTAAGGGGTTAGACCACTCTAGACCACATTGTAGCTGCTTGATGAAAACCCTGTTAAATCGGGCGGTTGGAAAGGGTACAGCTACAATTTTTAAGTTAGAACAAAAACAATAAGTTGTTTCGTTTTTACAACTCAAAAGCTACAGAAAGACGTACCGATTTTTTGATATGATGCGTAGTTCTTTAGGTATCAACAATTTAGTGCTTCTTTTTTTGAACTAAAACGCAAGTTTCTGTAATATGTCCACCATTTTTGCAAAAATTTAAATAAAAAAATCCATACGTCTTTCTCTAGCTTTTGAGTTGTAAAAACTAAATAACTTTTTATCTTTGTCCTAATTGAAACCTTTCAAGATTTCACGTTTTCATCAAGCAGCTTTTGGCAGTCCTTTTCTATTTTAATTAATTAAAAAAAACAAACATTTTTTTTCATATCTTTTAATATTGTTTTCCCGAAAAAGAATCGGAAAATTGGGTTTATATTTCAATGGTTTAGAGTAGTCTAACCCTTTAAGACGACGAAAGCCTAATGTTTCTAGTTGTAAGTCCAGTTTTAGTTCTAGTTTTATTTGTTATTGAGCGTTAGATTATTATACAGGGTGATTCTCAACCTACACGCATAAGCTAGGTGAAAAAAATTGTAGTAAAACATTTTTAGTGTCAAGGTAGTCCATTGGCCAGGCCTTCTCGACCGCCCGACCTCAATCCCCTTAATTTTTATTTTTGGGATCACTTATAAAGTATCGAAGTTAATACTGAGCAAGGGTTACGAAATCAGATACAAACTGCTGTCGAGACAATGCGCCAACAAACTGTCTTTGCTTCTAGAAATCGTCTTACTCAGCAACACCAAACTATCTCATCTGTTTAGAACTGAACTGTATACTTATTTCATCTTCTGCAAAAAAAAAGTTTACATACATTTGAGTGTGCCGTTTGCTCACGTCCGTCTGATTGCAAGAGTTGCCTACACAAATGATGCATGGCGAAATTTAGTAACGAGATGAAGAATGACATGTACGAATCACACAATCTTGAGGAAAATGTTGAGAGCATTAAAAAGAATCAGATAGAATTCCGGCGAAAAAACGTCGGCAGCCTTCCTCTGTTTCGTTGATCTAACCATAACATTCGACAAAGTAAGGATAAAATAATTAGAAGAGGGCAAACATTACAAAGTATATAATTTAAACTATGGTTACACTATGCATGATCACAAAATCAAGATTGAGTGCTATGCAGATGATGCCGTCCTCTTAGCTGATACTAAGGTTATTAGACATTGTTAGACATACAAACTGCTGCCGAGACAATCCACTAACGCCCTGGTTTAGGCCGCGCTAGTGGGACATCGTGGATTCAGCGAGCCCAATGGTGTATAGAAAATATTGTCACCAACTTGGAACACTTGCTTTGACGTCATTTGAAAATCTTATATGTATTCTTGATTTGAAAGTAAAGTTCATGGATATCTAAAAAAGTAAAAAACATTTGCTACAATTTTTTCATCTATTACTCATTATTTGTCATGAGGAATAAATCCCCAAGTTTATGCGTATAGATTGAGAATCACCCTGTATATTTTTATCGAACTAAAAGTAGATCTAACACAAGACCTAGAACTAGAAACGTACCATTTCCAGTAGGTATGTACTCAGTTGCACTCGTTTTCTTCATAACAAGTCCACATAGTCCGCGTATGCCAGGCATTGTTGTTCGATTTAGCAATGTTTCTCCCTGTCGTATTCCGATGTTCCTTTCGACCCTTTCTAGAGTCAGGTTGAAGAACGTGCAGAACAAGGCATCTCCTTGCCTGAGGGGACCTTTATCACACTCTTGGTGTTTACCAGCGTCATCCTCACCAGTCGGATAAGTTTTTCTGGTATCGAGAGTATCCGTAACGTATTGTATAAGTTTGTCCTATCTATGCTATCATATGCCTGCTTATAATCCACGAAGAGTTGATACACAGGTATATTGTGCTCGTAACATTTCTCAAGTACGTGGTACCGTTCTAATTGAAAATGTGGTCGATTGTTGCCCACACTCTACGGAATCCATACTGATAATCTCCCAGTTCTTGTTCCAAAAACGATTCTATACGTCTTGAAAGCACCTTTATTAGTACTTTGTATATTGTGTTGAGTAGTGAGATTCCTCTATAGTCAATACATAGACATGGGAAAGTCTCGTTCTTCTGGATGTACGCTGATAGGTAGACATGTAGAAATCTAGAAACCCGTGCCTGATGCAAGATTATTGTCTTGAATGAAAAATGGCTATACTGAAAGATGTCTTTTTTGAGTGTTCTTTAGCTATATGAGCATGAAGTAAATTTCCAGAAACATGACAATTGTTTGGAGTCTGGTCCACACTTTCAAAAACTATCATCACTATAAAAAGCTTTGTTTGCTAGTATTCTCAATAAAATTCAAAGTTAGTATTGTTGCTGCACATTCTGTATATTATTAATACAAATGTTTAATTTATATTTACATATTACTCGCTGAAACTTGGTAAGTAATATTTATTTTGAAGAAGTAATTCAAATCAGTAAATTAACTACCATCACCGTCTTTGTGATCTTTCCAAGGGTTAACATGTTTTTTTGACATTTCAAACTGTTAACGATTTGCGTTTAACCTAAGATTCCGTGATTAAGTTACGAATTTATTTTGGGCAAGTTTATTAACTGTTTTTCTATTATAAACCTAAAGTCTACCAACAAGAATAATAAAAACATTTTTAAACATCCCTCAAATTTGGATGAAATCTTTAATGGCTCCATGGAATAAACAATTTTGTAGTACTTTCGGCTGTGTCTCCTTCTTAATGCTAAACTTCAAAAAAGGTCAAATCAATCACCATCAGAACAACTCGATTTATGCATGTAGTTGTCACGTATTCGGAGTATTAATAAATATAGGCTATCCATCGATTACTCCATAACACATTGAAACATTCTTACTAATTATTTCCTATTCTTCGTGTGGTTTTAGCACCTATACCTAACCTATAATTAATTTGTTTATTCGCTCGGTAATTATTTCGAACTTATTTAGTTCAATTCTAGTAAAAACTTTCGTACGTAGATTTGTGGCTTAGTTTTCTTAGTTGACTGGCATACTGAAAGAGTTGTAGACGAGTTACGTTCAATGTGATATGAACGAAATGATATCGCAAAGCATGCAACATTTACTCCCAAACCAGAGTGAATCCTAAGGAAAAATGAAAACAAACTGTAGATGTAAATACATTTCTTACACACGCCTTATGAAAATACTGTCAGATGGAAAGAAGAGTATTTCGATAACAAGATCGAAAATAATAAATCAATCGACACAATATGTATATTAAGCTTGAATGTATTTGGAATGGATAAAATTGTTTTAAGAAAAATATTTTTGTGGTTACTATTACTTCTGATTAGTAAAAAAAAATTCAAATGTTTCAAAAATATTAAAAACTTTAAACCAGTTTATTAGATATCAATGGTAGTGAAACAAATGAAAAGTCTTTAAGAATACTTTGGGCGAAGAAAGCGAGGAAATGATTTCTAATTACTTCTAGAACAAATTGTGATTGATCTACAAACTTGTATTGAGAAATTTCATCAAATACAAGAACAACTACTAAGATAACATTGAAGGATTGTTACGAAAGTTCTTAAACGTGTACCGTCATTTAAGAACTTGTTGGTAAAAATAAAGTGGATATTTTAATCTGTTTGATTTAACCAAGTCTATGTTTCATCACGATTTTTAATTCGCCTATAGAGGGCTAATTATCCAGAACCAATGAATATATTGATTCGAACAAATGGCTCATTGTCTTAACTCTTGAACGTTAATGTTGGTCATTGTAATCAGTCATATCTCGTTATTGTAAAGCAGGCATGTGTAATGAAGGTTTGAATCTAATGGATGAATCACATTTTGAGATTGCTCCAGTTAGGATCGGGCTCGAACCGAAGCTGTGACCTCCTTGTTTTGAAAGGTATCTCGCTGAGGTGGACTCGAACTAAATGTATCGATTATTAGTTGCAGCGGCATTCGTAATGAAGTGTTACCACATCCTCGCGAGGTTAGTTTGATATGCAAAAAGGATGGGAATTGAGTACTACATATGAAACGCACCCTTCAAAAACAAACAGTACAACTGCATTAAACATGTCATCACATCAACTTACTAAAATCTGATATTAATTGGAAACACTAAATATGAAAATTCTTACTTCACAACTAACAATTAAAGTAAATTCCAATAATTCCAAAGCGGGAATATAACCACAGAAAGAATACGAATTGTAAAAGAAATCCAAGCATTCTGTGAAAAGCTATACATTTCTACCATACCAAAACCGGAAACTGCGGCTAGAAAGGATCTAAACGTCGGATTGGACCTTTTCGAAATATCGATATACAAGATTACACATTCCTTAAGACAACTGAAGAACAAGAAAGCTCCCAGTTAGGACTCTATAACTTAGGAAATACTAAAAATCGATGATAGTACCCTTGAGAATGCCCTAAAATTGCTTTTAATCAAATGCTTGCTAGAAGGGAAGATATCCGAAGCATGGAAGAACGCCGTGGTCATTTTTATACATAAAAATCATTCACATCAAAATAGATGAGGATCTGAATGGTGTACGCTTGAATCACTTAAGGTTCGCAGACGATGTGGTACTGGTCAGTTCAGACATAGAGGAACTGGAAAACATGTTATAAGATCTAAATCGACACTCAAAGGAAATAGGTGTATAAATGAACTTGCATAAAACTGAAATAATGAACAACATACAAAATGATGTTGCTATTCATAACGCTTCCTTAGAGAATGCGTTTAGAACAAAGTTTTATGCAGAAAAACAAAGAACTACCGAGAAGTTTAAAACGAAAGGTGTATGATAACTGCATACTGCCAGTGACTTGAAAACATGGCCTTGACAAGGAAAAAAGCAAAAAAACCTTAAGTAACCCAAAGAGCGATACGAGTCACAATGGTGGGATTACTCTGAGAGATAAGATTCGAAATAGCGACATTCGCAGAGGAATAAACGTGACAGATGTTATAAGATGAGTAGCGAGGATTAAGCGGTAATATATCGGGCATGTGGTAAGAGGAATGCAGAAAAAATGGACTCAAAGAATAACCTTTTGGAGACCACGAGAAACTGAAAGAGGTGCAGAAACACCGCAAAAGAGGTGGATCAATGATGTGAAGGGTGTGGCCTGGAAAGAATGGATGATAACAGCAAAAGACAGAAATAAATGGAAATGTTTGTCCAGCAGTGGATTAATACACACTGGGGAAGAAGAAGCAAAATTATTTTTTTACATTATCACCATAATGGGCTACCACAGTTATAAATTATAGGACATTAGGGAATAGAAATGTGCAAGAAACTATTTGAAACTAAACATTAATTTCTTAAAAAAAATTATTACGTTGTTGTTACAAAAGCATTTCTTGAGGAATTTTTGATGCTTATTTTTACATATTCAAATTTCAAAAGACATCTGGGCTTCGAAACGATCTTCTATTCGTATCATTTTAATTAAAACGTATTGGATTCTGGATTACACTTTTTTTCGGATCACATTTTTTACAAAATTAATCCCAAAACCGACAACTCAACAAAAATTTAACTATTATGTTTAGCAAATAAATGCTATCATTTCTTTTATCTACCATTTTATCAAATGACAAACTTATTTAACATTGTGAAATATTGAAATAACCTTAAAGATAACCCTTTATACCAGTTTTATTGTGAATGAAAATAGTTCCTAATTAATTAATACATTTTAACAGATTTAAAATTTGTTATTAAAAGAATTTAAATCAGAACATTCAACTCAGTATTTATACACATTTAAAAATATAAATACAAGCTTCGTTGTATTAATAGTTTTCGCGGTTCCCAGTCACTAATAGATTTATAAATACATCTTTTCTTAATAATTAAGAAATGAATATTTTTTAGTAGATGATTAATAAATATCCTTAAATCGATAACCTTGATATATTGAACCTGTTTGGATAATTAAAACGCCTTACATATGTGACTCGCCATATTTTAATGAAATTAATTTATTGCTCATACTATTAATTAACTTTATTTATAGGAATGTTAAACGCTTTAAAGTAATGCGGCTTTAGTTGCAAAATATAGAATAACTAGGAAGCTAAGTGGGAATGTAGGCAAAATATTTTTAGATTCTAGGGCGATTCTAAGCTTAAGTGACATTTTGCGTTTGGCAAAACGTTCTTTTTGTTAAATCCAAAGCTTTTACCCGAATTGTAAATTTGAATATAACGTTTCACGTCTTAAAAGCAGTTTCAATCTTAGAATGATTTAAAAAAATTCCTTTGTTAATGTTTGCTTCTAAATTTCTAGTACAAATCATTTGAGTTATTAGATTTCTTTGTTTCATTCGTAAATCTCCAATTTACATCACATATTACATCATCTGTAAATTTAACATGCTGAGAAATCATGAATTTTTAAACAATGCTTTTGTGGAAGTAAAATTAGCAATGTTGAAGTTTTTTGTTTTATATTTTCAGTTTTTTTCCGTTATAACATGAAAAGCAGATCTTAATAACAACATTTAAGTGACATCACTATGAGTTAAAAATAACCGTTATGAACAACCATAAATTAGAAAATTATGTATTTAAAGCAATCATCTTTACACTTTTTTTTGTTATTAAAATATTTTTTTAAGAAAATATATAACTGAATTTTGTACAATGTGTTAAAGAGGATGTAGATAGATAGCTACAGCCTCAGTGAAAAAATTAGAAATAGAGAAAATAAAGAAAAAGCGGGATGCTTCAAATTAATGTTCTCCGCGTTATTTGGCATTGTTTCAAAAATTCGACATTTGTAAAGACCTTATTGATTTTTTTTAAATACTTTTGTTTTTATAAACATTTTTTTATTGAAATTTATTTGATTTAATTCTGGTTTTATTGTGTTTCAGGCCCTTTTAGTGCACCGGTCACATCGTATATGAAACTTACAAATCCGACGGAGAAGAGAGTTATGTTTAAGATTAAAACGACGGCGCCGAAAAAGTATTGCGTACGACCAAATTCCGGTGCTTTAGACAGTAATGGAGTCGTAGAAATTGCCAGTAAGAAACACAATTCCTTCAATAATTAATCACATGTTTTTCCCAACTTATCAATTCGTTACAGTTTGCCTGCAACCGTTTATATTTGACCCCAATGAGAAGAATAAACACAAGTTTATGGTGCAAACGGTGTTCGCTCCGGATGGAGACGTTTCCGCGGAACAAGTCTGGAAAGACGTGCCGACGGAAAAAATTATGGACTCAAAATTGAAATGTGTATTTGAAGTACCAGCAGCGGAGGAAGAACAGAACGGACCTGAAATAATTAAAGCTAGTCCGAAATCTGCTTCGCAGCCGTCTGTTTCTTCTAACGTGGAAGATGATTTGAAAAGAGCTAAAGAAGAGGTAAATATAAAATAAAAAATTGGCTTGTTTTTGAGGGTTTATCGGTTTATGTTGATTAATACAATAATTATTGGATAATTTACACAATTGCCTGCTGTATTAACAACGTAATCAAGTAATTAAACCGTCGATGAAACAAGCTTATACGTTCCTTGGACTGCATGATATCTAAGGATGATAATGTTTTAAAGTTACGAAAAATGGAACAATTTTTATTTGTGTTTTAAATATTTGAATAAACAACACAGTATTATATTCGCTAGCAGATTATAAAAAAAATTGCAAACAAAAGAGGAGTCTGTTTACTAAATAATTTTAACTAACAATAAGTTATAGTCGAAAATTATCGTCTATATCAAGTTATATTTGTTACTCTTTTCGAGTACGTTTTGTGTATGATTTGAGTGAGACATGAAGGAATCAAACAAACTCATGAATATGTTTGAATTTTATGGAGGATTAAAGGGGATTTCAGTCTAGAAGAACAAAAACATATTTTTTTTTATTTGCGATTATACAAGATGTATCTGAATTGCTTGGGCAAAATTTACCAACGTGATGTATGGAACAAAATAGTAAAAAGAGTTCCTATAATCATGTGTCTAAAAATGCTTCCTTAAAAAGTCACGCGCGAATTTCTATATTAATAGAAGCTAATAATTTGCTTGTATGTCAACCATTTATACGAGTTAATCAACTTCGCTGTTGTCGAATTAGATATTACCTTTTTATTTCTTAACAATTAATTGTCAGACAAAAAAAACAGTGTTAAATTTTGAAAAGTAGATATTGTTTTTGCATGACGTTTGTGGCAATCCATCATTGTCTTTGTGAAACAGGTTATTTTAAACGGAATACTTCAGATTGTGGTATTCCAAGAAGCACCAGAACATCGACGTTTGAAGAGACTATAGAATTGCAGACAAATTCTAAAATAATACCAGGAAATTATTTTAAAAAGTAGGTGTTTCGCATAGTAGAATATACATGAACAGCTAGCGAAGCTAATTTTCGACCACGAATGCTATTTTGTAACTGGTTTCTACAGCTATGTATCATTCCGAATTTCCAATACGTTGTGCTTTTTACAGATGAAGCAAAATTTACTAGGGATGCAATCAATGCGCTATGGAAAATTGTCACGCGATTAGAAAATCAAAAATCAACAAATTTTTTCATGTAACATCTGGGCTTGCACTGTTGGCGATGATGTAATAGAATGTTTCCAATGTTTTAACAGATTAAATGGGCAAAAGCACAGAAATGTTTTGAAACATGATCTACCTACCTTGATGACGTTCCGTTTGAACTTATGGTTCATGCATGACGGTGCTCAACCACATTTCAGCCTACTTAAATAGTACTTTTGCGAATCCTTGCATTTGCAGAGGTGGACCAGTTGCGTGGCCACCACGTTCTCCAAATTACACGTCGATAGATTTTTTTTGTGCGACCGAATCTGTCATAATTTCCGTGCCCTGGATTTCTGGAGCGAGTTCGACAATCAATGGTTCGACGATGCCAAGTCTGTATTACTACTGAAGGACATTTTGAGCACTTTAACGTCGAACCATAACAAAATCCTAAATAAGCGATGTGAAGTAGTTTGTTCTTGTTGTTTTAATTAAAATTTTTATTGATTCGTAATTACAGTTTTGGTTTCGTTCGTAACTTTTTAACCCTCGGTTACTCACGTGCAATTTTGTAACGTGCTTAGTCACGCTATGTCTACTGGACCTATAACCAATAATTTTAGCTTATTTCAGTATTTTGTATAAAATTATATTGGTACTTGTTATAGTCTCTGTTATAGACTACCAATTACGTTTACCAACTACACAAATAATTCACTATTCTGTTAAAAATCAAAAAGAGATCTTTTTTTTACTATATCTAAAAAGACTATCACATTGGGTCGACTATTTGGTAATACAAAAGCTGAAGGAATTTGTCGTTTATGTTTTCATACGGTTTCAACATAAGATACTTTATTTTTTTCCAATTCCTTTACAAGTTTTAAACTGGCGAACCTGTTATCGGCGGTAATATTTTTGCCAATTCCAAAAATTGGTTCTTACAATCTTATTACTACATTATTGACAGAATTATTCTGTTTATAGGGTCCTTCACGTTGCTGGCCGCATTAAATTTCCATATTATATGTATACAATATAGCATACAGTATACGCCTGAGCATTGCTTCGACAACAGTTTTTTATTCCATGTTTATTTGGAAAGACTTACTTTGAAGAAAATATTGTCTAAATCCTCATCGTCCTCAAAATGCTGGAAGCATTTTATTATTTTATTTAGTTAGATTTTGACCAGAATAGTAGCAAGTTTTACAATTTTCCACAAATCAAGTAAACATCTCTTACTGCAGCTAATTTATACTGAGTACTCCTTGAGAACTCCCGAGTTGGGTTGGGTTGATCAATATGCCCTGGTACAATATACATGCTGACTCGAAAATTTTTAATCATCTGTACTGCATTAACTAAAGGCAAATCCTGCTTCTCAAGTAATTTTAGAGTCATCTACATAACTATAAATGGTTTTTATAAATAGCAAATTCTTTTATAAGTCTACTTATTTTAGTACAGCCTGACAATCTTGTATTGCATTACCAATTGTAGCTGGAAATTCATTTATTAATATTTTGAAGCTGTCAAAGGTATTTGTGTAGTATATAGCGGCATTTAACCATATTCGTCGTCTTGTTAGAACTGGTTGTGGGTAATTGGGTATTTGATAACCAGTCTCTAAACAATTCTATTCTTAAAGGAGCTTTAACAAATATTTGTTAAGTCCGTGCGACAGCTTTTACCATATATGCTGCATCTGACAGCATGAGTAAAATTTTATCATTCGAAACCGGCTCTGCTAAAAGTTTTTCTTAATTCTGTCGTACTTATTAGACAACTTTTTGATGAATTTACACCATTACGTGGGGACCTATCGTCCATATGCATCTGTCGTTTCCTCTACACATACCAATTGTTTCCATTAATATGTTTTATTTACTGAATAACACTAAAAACGTTTTGAAATATTCGTTTATAAATAGATATAGAGTAAGACCTAGATATAACGGATTAACACGGGGAAGGGTGTGTCCGTTATAACCAAAAGTCCGTTATATGAATAATTTTATTGCACACAAATTCGGACAGCTATCCACACCATTGCGTTCAGTCTATGTGGCTTTATATTTATACCAAGGACGGTAGAATATAAGAGGACTGTCACATCCCAGGTACAGCTGCTCAGCTCGATGGCCTGTTAGTGACGTGAGCGCTAAATAATAATTAAATCTAGAACTAACACTAGATCTAGAACCACAAAGTTTCGGATTAAGCCATGCGTCTTCAGTTAGACAACTAAAATTAATACTAGACCTAGAAACATTCGGTGTTATACTAACAATGTGCTAACATTGTTATTACTAACAATGTCATTCGTTGTTAGTTCTACTTTTAGTTCAAGAAAAATATACAACAATCTACCACTGAATAATAATTAAAACTAAAACTACTGATCTTGATTTATACATCTCATTATTTATAAACATGGAATCGAGCAATTTGGGGAATAACCCGAGTTGAAGTAATAATCTGCAGTCTGTTTTAACGAGATACGTTATATTAAAATTTTACTGTATTTGCTTTTATCAGAGCTTTGCAAAGATCGAAAATGACTAAAACTTACGATTTTTGAACACGTTTGGCAAAATAAGCGATTGCATTCATATTTTAATTCCTTGTAACTTTTAATCCGTTCTTACAGCTTAGCAAATTTTACAACTTGACCGGTCAGCAGTTGCGCAGAAGAAGGAATGCAACAGCAAATCGTTGAAGTCAGTTAGGCAAACTCGTGACATCTACGACATTATGTTAGCTCTCGTCAAAAATGTTGTATAAAGGCTGGTTCAGATTTTAAGCTTCTCAGAAATACATAATAACCGAAAGTTAAGCAGCTTGAAAATTATAAATTTTAATACGTTAACGGCATAATAATTTTTGTTTGTGTCCATTTATTATAATTGTCTATTTAAATTATATTGTTGAATATGGAGATCCATCTTTAACCAGTGTGGTAATTAAATAAACTCCAAAGTTCTTTTACTACTGGTTTTATTTTGTTATTAAATTAACCTGACATGTTTCGATCAATAATAGGATAATATAATATCCTCAATAATATCATCAACATGAGACTATATTTATTTCTTAATTTACTTAAAGCAGGAAGACTGAACAGATCGTAGGATAACACAACGTGTTATTAATTTAATAACAAAATAAAGCCAGTAGTAAAAGAACTTTGGAGTTTATTTAATTATTTAAATTATGTTTACACATAATTTAGCAATTATCAACTCATGAGCTTGCTACTTGTTTGATACTATTCTTACATTTCCCGTTCATAGCACTGAAATTTATCATAGATCATTTACAGTACAGTCGATTGCGCTGTGGAATGGACTGCCTTCTGAAATTCGTAATATTTCTAGAATTACTAATTTTAGACATGTTTTAAAGAGCCACTTGCTTGCCCTTCAACTGGCTGTTTCCTGATTCTTTGTTCTTTGTCTTTCTCTTTTTTCCTCTCTTCAACTGCTCTCACTTGTTGGCAGCTGATATCCGGCAGATTCTTTTAGTTTCTTTTAGCCGCTCTCTATCTCTCTTTTCGTGTCTTTTCTTTGTTTTTCTTTTCTTGCTTAATCTTATTTGGTGATGTTAATATCTAATTATCACTACTTGCCATATTCAGTAAATACTATTTTTATTTTTGTTTGTTCTGTTGGGTCATTTGGCAGAGATCGCTTGTGCGATAAAATGATCCATTTGCTGATACTGTTTAAGTTAAGTGTATCTTATGTAATTTTGTATTTTTGTCTGTGGCAATAAATGGTAAATAATAATAATAACATATATAGACAGGTAAATAAATCACTTCAAGGAATTTAAAGAATTTTATTACCTATTTTTTAATTGTTACATAGCAGGAAAAGATATTTAAACTTCTTTGGGAATTTTCCATGGCAGATATGTAAAGGTCGTCTGTCCTTTTTATAACCAGCCATTTTATTCAGTGCGTCCGTAAAGTAATGGATATAGGCGATAAAACCATTATAAACAATTTATAGAAAAATCCCTGAAAATCAATCTGTATTAAAGCTATGAAGACAACTAAATGAATTGAAGACTCGATCAGTAAATACTGGTATTATCCCACGTCAAACGCATAACGGAGAATTTCAAAGTACGATTCATTCACGAAACAAATATGTAGTGGTGTAGCTATTAAATAAACTTTGGAAAAAGGGCCAAATTATGAAAAAAAGTTCTAAATAGTCATTAATTACAACTCAGTGTGGGACTCTGCAACTTATTTCACCATATGGCAACAATTAATACAATGAAAATTGTTTCTATCTGGATTACACGTCGGTTCATTTCATTTTGTATATAATTGGGTTGGATGTGATTGATGAGTGTGACTGGTGGTATTGAGAACATCTTGAACATGATCAGATTTTCCATTAGAGTCCATTGCAAAATCAGTACATGAATTTGTTTCTTTGTGGATTCATAATGAGGAGAAAGTTTTTGAAGTATTGAAAACAGTTAGAGATATAAGTAAGAACATTTTATAAAATAGCTTCTTCCGTTAATTTTTCCTCAGTTGGTTCGTTCTTATGAGTCTCTACCCATTCTGCAATTTCCTCTTCAGGAATTGTTTTTAAATTTAGGTGTACCTAAGTGTAATTGTATCTAAGGTTTCTTCTTCATTGATTTGAGGTGTTCAACAAATTTCGACAAATGCGTTTGGCCTTAGCTTCCTCCAACAGCGTTATAAAGTGACTTCTTTTACTTGAGACCGAGAAAGTGCGTTAGCATACACGGTATCATTGAGATTATATTTCTGATGAAAGTCAGTCATGTCATAATCAAAGTTTAATAAGTCCTGAAGAAAGGAGTTTCTATAAAAACATGTAAAGTTTTGAATAGCCACTTGATCCATCGGTTGGATCAAGGAGGTAACGTTTGGAGGCAAATATGTTGCCAGAAACCAAATCTGTCATTGGTGGATGAGCGTTGCAGTTATCTAAAAGAAGGAGGGCTTTGCTGTCTTCTGGCAGTTTAAGTTTTTAAAGTTATCCTTGACTTATGGAACAAAGGGGTTAAAAATCAGTCTTTAAATAATGTGGCAGTAATCCAAGCATTTTGTTAGGCATCGCAATGATCAAGCAGAATTTTAATATTCTTAAAAACACTTGGTTTTTTAGACTTGACAGTTGTAAATGGTGTTAGTTGGTTTCCAGATGCATTAACACGTAGTAAAACTGTCAACCTATCTTTGTTTTTCTTATACCCATTAGCTGACTTCTTTCTCCTCCAATAGTTGAAATTGGTAAACAACTCCAAAGTAGTCTTGTTTCATCGGCATTATGACTTATGCACACTTGATCAGCCGTCAGTTCGTTGTCTTTGATAATTTTGTCAAATTCTTCCTTATAGTGATTTGCAGATTTTTAATTTGCTGCATTTACTCTCTCCCGTGACATCAAGTCTTCGAATTCTATGCCGAAACTTAAAATTTCAGAGCCAGCCGTCTGAAAAAGTACAATCTCCCTCTATATTCAAATCTTCTTTCAATTTTTTAGCTTTTTTAATAATTATTGATCCCGTTACTGGATTCCCTTCGGCAGCCTTTACACTGAACCGTTTATACAAGACGTTGTCCAGTTGTTTCAGCTTAGGTTTTCTAAGAATTTGCCTAGAATCAAGTTTTTCAGATGCCATTTGGGAAATAAAATGCATCAGTTCATCTTGTTGTTTTTTAATGTAATAAATGGTTGATGACCCAATATTAAATTCATTCATCAAAACATTTTTATTTTCACCCTTTTCCAAGCGTTGATGATTTCCAACTTCTGATTAATGGTGAGAGTAGCGTGTTTTCTTTTCTGTCCAGAGTTTTTATCGCTTGGCATTTTAGAAAGCAGGATAAACGGAAGCTCACAAAACAGTGGAATGCATAGAAAATGGCTAACTCTTCGCCACGCAGCAATCAGCTCGAACAAACCCGAACGACCTTAAAGAGAATCTAATGTAGTATGATATAATATGGTATTATCTCAATCAATTATTGATCTCCCTAAGGTTTTTGTCACGAAAATAAATTAAATAGTATTTTGAAATACGTTGACTAAGAATTGTTCCTATATTTAGTATTTAAATTGTATAGATTGTTGACCTATACAAGTAACATATTATTCCAAAACGTAATAGTTATTTATATTACAAGTGGGCTAGAAACATAATTACAGTACGAGTGTGGAGAATTGCACGACGAGGTCGTAGACCGAGTCATCTAATCACACGAGTACTGTAATTATGCTCTAGCCCACGTGTGATATACAGCATTTTATCTACGACTGCTAAAAATTACTAAAAAATCAATTTCTTTAAAATAGTCTATTTGACATTTATAAAAATATTTTGAAATGATTGTTGACAATTTTGAATTGTCAGTTTCAACAACATGTTTACTCATCTGGAATAAGTGTTTTGAAATGTAAAAACATAACAATTAATGTTTATAATAAATAGTATTGTTTCTCTGTAAGTAGATAGCACTTTTTCTTTTGTATTGTTGCTCGTTTCAATAAATTAA